TTTTTTTTTTTTTTTTTTTTTTTTTTTTTTTTTTTTTTTTTTTTTTTTTTTTTTTTTTTTTTGCTTCCCTTTTGGTACCAAAAAGGTATCTTTTTCACATTATTAAAAAATTATGCGAAAATATTTTATTATTATAGCCAAGTTTAAAAAATATCTCTTCAAAAGTTTATTAATATTTTATTAAAAAAAATTAATTTTTTTATTATTAGTATATGAATCAATTTTTTTTTCGTCCTCAATTTTTCATAATTCTACTCGCTTATTTAATACCCTATAAATCTCTTTCTTTTATATATCAATCTTATTTTAAATATTAAAAATTTAAATAAAAAAGATTTTTTTTTAATTTATTTATTTAGGAACATTCTCGACTAAAGATATAAAAAATTTAAGCTTTTAATTTTAAAAAATTATTTTAGTAGGGGGAGACATTTGATGAAACATGTCACATGCATGGATTGTATTCTTTTTCTTGGTATTAATATTGGATCAAAGTGAGCACCAAGCAATTGATGGATCACTCACACTCACTAGGAAAGAAATATATTCTCTATCACCTTTAAATTATGCTATACTATTAAGCTTTTGGGTGTTTAGGCTTTATAATTCATCTTCTCTAAAGGTGGGTCGTGCTCGAGGTCATCAAAAGAGTAATTTCCAACTATTCGAGCTTTGGGTGTAGAATCCTAACCTTTGAAAATCCCAACAAAGATTGAAGTGTCATGGGTCAAGAGAGCATTGGGTGTAACCCTTCAAGAAGGGTCCAGCCAAAGTCAATCGCTAGTAAATATTGTTTACTTTAGCCTGTTAAGTATCGTCATCAACCTCATGATTTTAAAACACATCTACTAAGAGAAACATTTTCACATCTTAGGAATGTTTCACAACCCTCTCCAACTAACCACTAATGTGAGATCTCACAATATTTGTAACAAACTAAGTACACCGCTAGTAGATACTATCCGCTTTAGCCTGTTATGTATCGTCATCAACCTCATGATTTTAAAATGTGTCTAATATGAAGAGTGTCTAGTCCTACTTTGACCAATATCTTGCATCATTCAGTGGCTGGCTCTAATACCATTTGTAACTGTCAAAATTCACAGCTAGTAAAAATTGTCCGGTTTGACCCGTTATATATTGTCATCAGCCTCTAATCTTCTTAGTTGGTGGCCCAATCCTTGTTTAACATTGTTCTCTTCTATTCCTTTATAGACTCTTGATTTATTTGACCCTTAATTTCTTCATTCTCGTTATCCAATTTCATTCATGTATGTGACTTAAAATAATGTTAGTACACATACAGGTCATTTGTTAAGATCAAACATTGAAAACCATTAAAAGGTGAGGCCAAAATTGACCGGACCCACCCTAACTTACCCAGAAAGAAGATCCCAGCTACACAGCTCCACCAGCACCGGCACCAGCACCACCACGTGTTCATGGAACCAACCAGCACCCGCCACTTGCCCACTTTCCTTGCCACACTCCTCAAACTAAAACTCCAATCTCCATTACCTTTCTCCTCCTCCACCCATTTCACTTCACCTCTGTAAAAGGAAGAAAAAAAAAATCAGACGACGAAAATGCCCGGCGGAGTGGACTTGAGCCTCCAAAAGGAGCAAGAACTCCTCCACGAAGAAACATGCGACCCAAAGCAGCAGCAGCAGCAGCAGCATCGGGGGATGAAATTGGGGCGGAAGAAGCCGGCGGTGTTTCTGAGTTTCCGCCACCTGAATATGCTGGCGGTGATGGTGATCTTCTCTGCCAGCGGATTGGTATGTGCAGAGGACTTGGCGTTTGTGGTGCTTTCGATTCTGTACATGTACTTCCTTTCCAGAGTGGCGTTTCCAAGGCTGGAGGGCGAGGAGCCGACGGTGTTCAGCCAGCAGAACAAGCTGCTCCAGCAGTACGTGTTGTTCGCCGCCGTGGTGGGGCTGTTCCTCCCCATAGCCTACATTTTAGTAGGATTCTTTCAAGATGATCAAGAGGGCATCAAAGCCGCTTCTCCCCATGTCTTTCTTCTCGCCAGCCAGGTCCCTTCCTTTCTTTCTTCTTCACCATGGGTTTTAAATTTCTGTAACTTTCCACAACCACGACAGAAGATTGATGCTTTTGAGTCAGATTTTTTTGTTCAAACTTCAAAGCTAAAGAACAACAGTATTTCTTTTCTATAATTTAGTCTAGTTTATGTACTAAGAAACAATCCCAATTCCTAACTGGTGACCAATCTTGAAAGAAATAGCATGATATTATGGTATGTATAATCTTTCTACTGATATTCTTACCAGGTTTTCATGGAAGGCATGGCGTGGAACGACAGATTCTCGACGCCAATCCGCGTGTTTGTGCCAGTTTTCTACAACTCAAGGAGGATCTTCACCCTCGTTGAGTGGCTGCGGGAAGAGTTCGCCAAAGAAGATAAGAAACCAGCGGCTCTATTCGTCGGAAGAGCACTTGCTGTAATCAACATGGCGCTTTGGAGCTTCAATCTGTTTGGGTTCTTGTTGCCTGTGTATCTGCCAAAAGCCTTCCAGAGATATTACTCTCTTTCGAAATCCAAAGATTGAGGGCTCTTTCCTTTGGGATAAAACATAAGGTAATATTACCCAAAAGCCTTCCAGAGATATTACCCACTAATTGCATGATTCTAAGCTTATATCTAATGGTTCTATGCTTTCTCTCTCCAAATTTGTTCAATTTCAAATGTTCGTTCACTAGCTAGATAACAAGAAGGGCACCCTGCATAGATATTTGAATCGACTTCAACAGTAGCTACTGAAGAAACTTCATTTCTAAAACATACTACATACAACAAAAGTAGAGGAAATCTCAAAATCTTTCCGATGCCCGTATTTCAATTAAGAGAAAACGGTAAACTAAAATAATCCAAAACTGAATCACTAATCGTATCCCTTCACAACAAATTAAAAGAACAATCGAGTCCATTTCCGATGAAGAAACAGTGGACAAATGCAAATTCGTACCTCAAAACCAAGCTCATGTTCAAAACCCCTCTTGGCGTTGATTGTTGGTGACAACAGAAAACTGAATTGAGATTGAGAGGAGGAGTGATTTGAATGATGGGGAGGGAGGTCCTTTTATAGGGGATTCCAGAGTGGGTTGAGATTTTCTAGGGTGATTCTGTAGTCGGTTGAGATTTTTGTGGATGAATTTGAATTTGAAACCAATTCAAATTCTATTCTATTATTAGTTATTATTACTTTCAACACCCTCCCTTAAACTGAATTCTGCGAAATCAGTTTAGGACTTCATTTCATCTTCTTGATATACATCTTGGATTCTGCATATCCCCATCTTTCTTCTGAGCTTCTCGAACAATGGTTGTTTCAAGGGCTTTGTGAATAGGTCTGCGATTTGTTCATCACTTCGGCAAAAGTTGAGTTCAATAATGCCTTCTTTACACAAATCACGCAAGAAATGAAATCGAACATCGATGTGCTTGCTCCTTCCATGTAACACAGGATTTTTAGACAACTTAATAGTTGACATATTATCACAATATATAACCGTCGTACTTGGTTGCTTCTGATTAAGAATTTCAAGCATTTTTCTTAACCAAACTGCTTGGCACGAGCATGCTGCTGCTGCCACAAATTCTGCTTCTGTCGTTGAGAGTGTTACAATAGGTTGCTTCTTTGAAGACCAGCAAATAGCTCCTGAACTCATCAAGAAAATACTTCCTGAAGTACTTTTACGATCGTCTATATCACCTGCATAGTCGCTATCTGTATAGCCAACTATCTTCGGATCATCTCCTTTTTTGTAGAATACCCCTAAATCAGAGGTTCCTCTCACATAACGAAGTATCCTTCTTGCTGCATTGAGATGTTTTTCCGTTGGATGCTCCATGTAACGACTTATCATACTAACCGCATACATGATGTCTGGTCTTGTTGAAGTTAGATACATCAAACTTCCCA